GAGAGCCTCTCTCTATATGTAACCTGGCCCCCGAACTCTATATAAGGGCGGCCAAACCTCTCTTCTAGAGGACAGACTCTCGAAGACTTTATTTGGGCATTCGTTCACCTTACTCCTCTTACCTCTTTCCCTTAGCTTACACACCTCATTGTAAGACTTCATAGCACTTGAACCGAGGGATATGAACTCGAACCATCTCTGAGACTGGACGTATGACTCTAGCTTGAATCAGTATAATTTCCTTGTGTTTTTTATTGCTATTATTGTCTTCCTATAGCAGCGCGACACACGTATAAATTCACTAGCCAGTTTACGAAACACCGACACTTAGAGATATTTTCATGGTTTAGAAACCATAGTGGGTATTTATTGATTTTTTGAATTAAAAAAGATAAAATTGCATTGAAAACTACCTCTAATCGACACACAGGTAGGTAACTTAAACGGTTTTGAGTGTTTTTTTATAGGAAACGGTTTTGAGAGTTGATGAGCAAGATATCCGGTTCTGGAGTTTGACGAGGAAAATTAGACCATAATGATAATTAAAGAAGGTAAAATATATTTGTTTTTACAAAACACCATTATGCCAAACAGGCCTGCATGCAGCCCAGCCGGCCCACCGCCCACCCGTTTACTCACCCGCCTCCTTCCCGGCTTCCCCGGCGCCAAAACTTCTCAAATTTCTCCCGCGCGAGCGCCAAACCGGAGCCAAAACGAAACTAGCAGCGAACCCCGCGGCGGCAAGGCTAAAAAAGGCGCAAAACCCCGATCGCCGCTCGCCTCCCGCCATTTCCTTCGCAAATCTGTCTTATAAGCGCGCGCAGCCTTGGCAGCTCGACGCATCTTCGCCGCCGCTCAGGGCTCACCCGCGCTCCCACCGATCCACTTCAAACCTACCTTCCTTCCTCCGGGAGACGATTCGACAGGGAGGGGAAAGAGGCAAGAGGAGCCATGGACGCTGCCAAGTCGGTAACGCCGGGCGCCGTGTCCCACATCCTGGCGCACCCGTCGACGGGCTCCGACGGCGCCGTGCCGGATCTCATCGTCCAGGTCCTCGACCTCAAGTCCATCGGCACGGGCAGCCGGTTCAGGTCAGTTCTCACCTCCTCCCTTCCCTGGCCGCGCTGGATCTATTATCTTTGCTAGTTTTCGTTCCGTGGGGCGGGGGATCTGTTCTGTTCTTAGCGCAGTTCTTATGGATCTTGTCAGCCGGTCTGACGAGCCCCCCCCTTGTTCGGATCTGCTATTGCCTTGCAGTTTCATGGCAACCGACGGGAAGGATAAGATCAAGGCGATGCTCCCCACCAACTTCGCGTCGGAGGTCCACTCCGGCAATCTGAAGAACCTCGGTCTCATCCGCATCCTCGACTACACTTGCAACCTCGTCAAAGGCAACAATGACAAGTAAGTGTTCTCCATCTTCTTTCGTCACCATGAGCGGACTAATGTTGGCAACTGTTCCCGTATTCAGCGTTTCCCTCGGTTTCCTGAATCATGTGCTTTGTTTACCAGAGTCTTGATTGTCGTCAAATGCGAGCTTGTGTGCCAAGCGCTCGACGCCGAGATCAACGGCGAGGCCAAGAAAGAGGAGCCTCCATTTGTGCTGAAGCCTAAGGACGAAGGCGTGGTCGTGGCTGAGCAAGCAAATGCCCCCCCACTCGTGATGAAGCCCAAGCAGGAGGTGAAGTCCGCGTCCCAGATTGTGAATGAGCAGCGTGGAAAGTAAGTGCTTGCAATTGCAGTCCCTGTCCTTTGATGTTCTGGTTGAGTCTCTCGAGGATTTAGATTTACAGTTCATCATTGTACTTCTGTGCGTGCAGTGCTGCTCCTGCTGCGCGCCTTTCCATGACAAGGAGGGTCCATCCCTTGATCACTCTGAATCCCTATCAGGGTAACTGGGTCATCAAGGTGCGGGTCACGAGCAAAGGCAACCTGAGAACCTACAGGAATGCTCGTGGAGAAGGCTGTGTCTTCAATGTAGAGCTCACTGATGAGGATGTAAGTGCTCTGATGGCATTTTTCTCATGTTTAAGTGCATTTTTTGTGAGTTGTCGTGGGTTCATGAGCTGATGCCCTCTGAATTTGTGTATGCACAGGGCACCCAGATCCAGGCCACCATGTTTAATGAGGCTGCAAAGAAGTTCTATCCAATTTTTGAGCTGGGAAAGGTCTATTATGTCTCAAAAGGATCTCTTAGAATTGCCAACAAGCAGTTCAAGACTGTCCAAAATGACTATGAGATGTCACTAAACGAAAATGCTATTATTGAAGAAGCAGAGGGGGAAACTTTCATTCCGCAAGTGCAATACAACTTTGTCAAGATTGATCAGCTAGGATCATATGTTGGTGGCAGGGAGCTTGTAGGTATGTCAGAATTATTGGAATTAAGTTGGTTTTACTTCTTCAGGTTCAATGTAGTGTCTCACTGTTTTATGTATTACTTCAGATATTGTTGGTGTGGTTCAGAGTGTATCTCCAACACTCAGCGTTAGAAGAAAGATTGACAATGAGACAATACCAAAGCGTGACATTGTTGTAGCAGATGACTCGTAAGTATCACTTGATCTTTTACCTTGTTAATAGATCAGAATACAATCATTCAGTGATGTTGCTTATAATTTCCCTAATCACAGATAAGTCCATAAAAAATGTCTCAAATTAATTCTCTTCAATTTTGCCATATCTATCTAAACTTTATATTTTTGTGATCTGAATTTAACATAGATTAATGAAACAAAATTGGCACTACTAGATTAATGATGAAAATAATAATAATAATTTCATAATCTATAATCCTTTCTATTTAAGATTAATTTTTTATAGATATCATTTCTAATAAAGAAATTATCTGTTCCTAATTGACTCATTTCATTTCTTTGCAGTGGCAAAACTGTTAATATTTCTCTCTGGAATGATCTTGCTACTATGACTGGCCAAGAGCTTTTGGACAAGGTTGACAGTTCTCCTGTCGTTGCGATAAAGAGCCTAAAAGTATCTGATTTCCAAGGTATGTCATCTAATCTCTGTTCAATCTTCTTCCTGGAAATCAATAAGTTACTGAAAGTGCGTCGTGATAACTGCGGTGCTGAAATTTGTCTTGTAGGTGTGTCTCTTTCAACTATAGGCAAAAGTACGCTCGCGATTAATCCAGACCTACCTGAGGCTCAGTATCTGAAATCATGGTATGCACTTCTCTCCTGAATGATGTGAGCTTGCTGTATGTTTTTAATCAATATAGTATGCTTAGACTTGTACATAATTTGTCAAATAGGTATGACTCTGAAGGCAAAGATACTTCACTGGCACCAGTTGGTGCAGAAATGGGTGCTGCACGTGCTGGTGGCTTGAAGTCCATGTATTCTGATAGAGTTTTTCTGTCCCACATCACCAGTGATCCTGCTATGGGCCAGGAAAAGGTATGATCCTGAATATTCACTGAAATATGATACTATTCACTGCTATGACCCAGTTTGACTTGTTTTTGCTTTGCAGTCTGTTTTCTTCAGTTTGAATGCCTTCATAAGCCACATCAAGCCTGACCAGAATATGTGGTACCGTGCTTGCAAGACCTGCAACAAGAAGGTGACTGAAGCTTTTGGATCTGGATACTGGTGCGAGGGATGCCAAAAGAACGACTCTGAATGCTCACTGAGGTAAAATTTGTTAGCAGAAGCCTGCTACTGTTATCTATTTGGTGCCAAATATGATTGTTTCCCTGCATCCTTCAGATACATCATGGTCCTCAAGGTCTCTGATCCCACTGGTGAGGCATGGGTGTCCGTGTTCAATGAGCATGCCGAGAAGATCATTGGCTGCAGTGCTGACGAGCTTGATCGGATCAGGGAAGAGGTAAATTCTGCAATCTGAGTAGGGCAAATACTCTGGCTTGACAGCATTGAATTTCTGCTGTTTTCTTGTTTGTCTTATCCCTGATAGTGGGTTCGCCATTGTTGCAGGAGGGGGAGGACAGTTACGTTCTCAAGCTCAAGGAAGCCACCTGGGTTCCTCACCTGTTCCGCGTCAGCGTCACACAGCATGAATACATGAACGAGAAAAGGCAGAGGATCACCGTGAGGACTGAAGCACCGGTCGACTACGCAGCTGAATCCAAGTACCTGCTTGAAGAGATCGCGAAGCTCACTGCTTGCTAGAAGATGCAATCTTTCTGGGGGTTCGTGAAGGACTGGCCCCCGAGATGTTTCCGTCGCAAGGGTTTTGAGCTGTAGTAACTTTATTACTGTTCTGTGTTGCTCTCATTGGTCTTTAGCACTTCTGTAAGATATGTAGATGTTTGTTCACCTTGATGTCAAGCAAACAGATGCTATGACAGTTCAAGCATGATGCATGAAGCCTTTGCAGAATTGCAGTTCCAAATTTCCGTGTCTCTGCAACTTTGTTGAGCAAATAGCGAGGGCTATTAGGACTAATGGATGATGTCAGGTCGCTGCGGCCAAGTTCGTTGTGTATGTGTCAGCAATCAGATGTAGAAACCCTTCCCTGCTCCAAGTCGTATGATAAAGTGCGCGTTCTACATCATTGTGCCATCTATTCAGTCTTTTGTCAGACATGTTTCCGGGAATTGCTAGTGTCAGCTTATCGTGGATTCATACTTTCTTTAGCTAGCGGAATAAGCTTAACATGCTCCAGCCTCTACAGCTGAAATACATATGGATGGTGCACCCTTTTTTAACTACTGATCTAAGTTACTCAGGCAGTAAAGTGATTGGGAGCTATGTGCCTAGTGAAATCATGGCCGCTAACACTCGCTATCGTGAGCTCCGTTTTCTGGACCTATACAAGAAAAAAAGAAGTTGCAGGACTAAATCACGCTCAGAAAGGATCAGAACATTATCAACAGGTTATATTACCATAACGCCCACCAATTCAATCGGGCAGAAGTAAGCACTGTGCCACAAACACAATCTGACGATGATACTAGTCTGACGCTAGGCTGAGGGCTGACTCTACAGAACACTTGCACCGGTCTGCTGGCGAAGGGTTCACAGGTTCGGGGTAGGGCTGATGACAATGTGTCGCAGCGGGTTATCCACCTTGCCGGCTCCGGCGTGCTCCACGAACTCCGAAGGAGTAAGGAAGCTTCCATGGCAGATGCATACGATTCTCACATCTTCTCCTTTCTTGTATTTATATAGGAAGCCTTCAACCCTGTTGCCGTTGGGCAGCCCCTTGGTGAACACGCCCGGCATCTCCTGCATTATCCTCCTTTCCACGTCCCCCATGCTGTTGGCTCTTGAAGCAGCCCTGCCTAAAATGCTTTGATCTCCCCTGGAACCAAGGGTTGCTGTTCTGGGAGGCAAAGACGAAGGCGGTGGACTTGCTGCCGTCACGTTACTTATAGCTTCATCAGAGGAAGGAACGGATGATGACGGGCTGTGCTCCTTAGTGATGGTTGTTCCTAAAAAAATCAGGAATGAGTATGATATAGAGCTTAATGATAACAAAAAAAAAACCATTGAAGGGAAGAACCACTAGAATAGAAAGTGTTCAATCATGCACAAACAAACAGCTCACACCTATAATAACTGAACAATATAAGAATCCAGCCCCCATCTATAAGAGCTGAACATATAGAATTTTGAATCTTCCAGATTCACTTCTGCCATGAAATGTCTTGTGACTATTGAAAGGACGCAACAGAGATTGTAACACAACATAGCCTCTTTGTTTAGCTAATAACCACTAATATCAAATGTAAAAACTCTCGATGTATCAGACATATAGTAAGTTCTTAACTTATAAGATCGTAGACGCAAATACTAAATAGCATTGATCTTTGGGCCCAAAGTCCTAATTTAAGGGCAAATATCAATCCAGTTCATTCATGTATTACACCTGTGGGGAATTGGCAAGATTCATGTTTTTGGAAGCATGGGAAATGGATACTGAGAATACCTAAACAGTGTACTTAACAAACAAAAGGGGATACCTTTGAAGGCTGAGTTTGGCTTCTTTCCCACTGCTGACAAACTATCTTGCGATGCAATTGTAGCCTGGTACTTTGGGGGAAGCCCCTTCACCAGATGCTTGCCACTGCTATGATTTTCGTTATTCATCACAACAGCTTCATCAGAACTTACTAATTTGTCAGCGTGTGCATTCATCTCTTGTGGAATCTGCCCAGCCGCTTCTTTTGAAGTGTTGCAAGTGAGAGAGTTCCTCCTCACAATCCTTTTCTTCTTAACCTCGAGTCTCTTCAGACTCTGTGCTTCCTTACGTTTCTTCCATTCATCATTGCCAGCAGCCTCAATGACAGCAGGGAGTGAACTAGTCCTCATGAGTGTGCCTGCAATATTCAGTAAGTATTTACAGATATTGGGAATTTGCGGAAAGCTGTTGATGTTTATTTCAAGAAACACTGAGATATTCGATTTCTCAACATATGACTGTTACATTAAAACATGTATTCTTTCGTTTACATTGGCATTATGCTTTAACAAATCTATATATTAACTAAAAACCAATTACAAAAACTACAATGTTTTGAAAGTACTTTAGACACACATCTGTGTGTATTGCTTCTGTACATACACTCTTTAAGTATTCATGGAAATATCAAATACTAAACATCAAACTGTTACATCACGCAGTTTACTACTGATATTTTCTCAGAGATATCTGATGAAGAAATACACACCTATAACAGAATGACTGAATCAACAGAGTTTTATGCAATAAAATATTATGCCGGCTACTTAACACAGTTTTGCAAAATAATTCACAACTACCACCATTTACCAAAGCGATCACAATCGGCACTGCTAAGCACGGAATCTAAAAGCCAAATTAACTATCAAGGGTAGCAAATACTAAAGATAGTATAAACCCCACAAAGAGAAGCCGCACGCACCTTGCAATCTCTGCCCATCACCTCCCGAAGAGGCAGAGGAAGGGCTCCCGCTCGCCGGCAGCCTCGCCGCGTGTTCCACGCCGAGACCCCCGCCATCAAGGCAAGAACCCCATCCAGCCTGCCCCTGCTGCCTCCCAACCTCCGACGCCTCGGCCAGGACCGGCAGCGAGCTCGTCCGCGGGAGCGCGCGCGGCGCCGGCACCTCCACCGGCGGCGTCAGCATGGCCGCCACGGATGACGACCGGGGGAGCTTGTCCCCCTTTCTGTCTAGCCCAAACCGGCCGCCGAGCGACAGCCCGAGGCTGAGTTCGACCTCCTCCATCTGCTCGCGCAGCTGCCCCGGCCTCTGCTCCGGTGGCAGCTCGTCTCCCTTCCCAATCCCGCACAGCAAGTCCCGCGAAAAACCCTCCATCGCGCGCGCAAGCTTGTCTAAGGGAGCCTCAGCAAACGACAAGCGCCTGCAAGACGGGCAAGAGCTGAGCGACGCCGCAGGAGCAACCATTCCCGGCGAACAAGAGGCGAGGGGCCGGAGCAGAGAACACGGGATGAGAGGCGACTTACACAGGTTGCACGGAGGAGGGAGGAGGCCGCCATTGGAGAGGTGAGGCGCTGCCGCTTCTCCTCGCCGCGGCCTTGAGCGACTCTCGCGGGGAACAGGAGAGAAGAGAGAGAGAGAGAGAGGAGGCAAATCTTTCTGCTCCTTTTTGGGCTGGTTGGTTTCGCTTTTGGGGCATGCGGTTCCGCTGGGGATGGTGAAGACGGGCGGGCGGGCTTGCCTCCGGCGTGACGCGTGTTGATACGGCGGCCGACGCGTGGCGCGAGCTTGCGCGGCACCGCGCAGCCGCGGCGGGAGCCGAGCGGGATGCGGTGGGCTCGCCAGCCTCGGTTGGAGCTGAGCCGGTCGAGTCGTGGACGCGCGCCGTGACCGGTGGATGCCAACACTCCAACAGGCTGGGCGGCAGGCCGATCCCTCGGTAGATTGTAGGAGCTCCGAGGACCTCCTATTGCCATCATGGCAATATTTTTTTGTGTGTGGAAAAGCTACTCTAGGTCCCCTTCTTTGTTCTGACGAGATATTTGGGATTTGTTTGATTCTAGATGTTTTTGGGTTTAGAGATAGGACCAAAGGAGTTGGAAAGTATGGAGACGATAGTTGAGTGAACCGCGGGATGTCGCTGGCAAGCTGACAGTGGATGGTCCGTGGAAGGATTGAAGTTAAGGTATGACGGCGCCGGCGTCGGCGACGACGGCGAGGAGAGGAGAGGGTGGGGTGGGTGGGAGGGGGGGGGGGTAAACTCACCACAACAGATTAATATGGCACCTCACCTCTTGTTGGCCGGGAATTCTTTCTTAAATCTCTCGTACGATACATTATTCTGAGTGTGACGTATGACTCTTCTTCTTCATCCCTTTCTTCTTCCTTTTCGTCCTCCTATTTAGGCAGCTCTCGATGGATCTATCGCCTCCCCCGCCATGTTACTTTGTTGGCCGCCACGGACTACAACCGGGGGAGATTATCCCCCTTCCTATTGAGCCCGAACCGGCCGCCAAGTGACAGCCCGAGGCTGAGCTCCACCTCCTCCATCTCCTCCCGTAGCTGCCCCGGCCTCTACTCCAGTGACGGCGCGTATCCCTTGCCAATCCGCACAGCAAGTCCCTCGGAAAAGCCCTCCATCGCGCGTGCAAGCTTGTCTCATGGAGCCTCAGCATCCAAGACGCGCCTGCAAGACGGGAAAGAGGTAAGCGACGCCCCAGGAATAACCATTCCCGGCCAACAAGAAGCAAGGGGCCACGTTAATTTGTTGGAGTGAGTTTACGTCTTGCAAGCGCTTCTTGGATGCTGAGGCTCCCTGAGACAAGCTTGCGTGCGATGGAGGGTTTTTCGAGGGACTTGTTGTGTGGGATTGGCAAGGGAGACGCGCCGCCACCGGAGCAGAGGCGGGGGCAGCTGCGGGAGGAGATGGAGGAGGTGGAGCTCAGCCTCGGGCTGTCGCTTGGCCGGTTCAGGCTCGATAGAAAGGGGGATAATCTCCTCCGGTCGTAGTCCGTGGCGGCCAACAGAGTAACATGGCGGGGGGAGGTGATAGATCCATCGGGAGCTGCCTAAATAGGAGGACGAGGAGGAAGAAAAAAAGGAGGATGAAGAAAAGTCATACGTCACACTCGTCACACTTAGAATGATGTATCATACGAGAGATTTAAGATAGAATAAGACTAGTCAAAGAAGATGTTGCGGCGGAAAAGTCAAGCCGTGTCACATGTGAGAGGAGAGAAACTTTCGTGTACATTGTAAGGAAAATGGACCCTAGGCCCATTTACTTTGGATTTTGGTGCTTGATGACCAACACAACCAAATTGGACTAATGAATTTGCAAGTGATTGTTTTGTAGTTCAATAGGATGTAAGACGTAACTTGGACAAAGGTGATGTGATGATCCGATGATCAACACCTCAAGCAAGACCTTAGGAGCACAAAAGAAGACCCAAGATATCAAGCAAAGTCCAAGCATGAAGATAGGAACCAAGCCACACGTAAGATCGTGAAGAAACGAGCTCACTGCAGCGATCGGACACTGACGAAAAGCGACCGGACGCTCCGATCAGAGGCTCGACAACAGCAGCAGCGACCGGACGCTGGCAGCAAACCGATCAGACGCAGGACAACAGCGTCCGATCGAGTACAGAGAGGTTCCAGAGCGGCGAAACTGCGACCGGACGCGTCCGGTGGCAGGTGACCGGACTCTAGAAGCGTCCGATCAGTTGATCGCGGCTCCAACGGTCGGGACGATCGGACGCGTCCGGTCAGGACGATTTTAGCGTCCGGTCAGTAGCAGAAAAACGAGATTTCGTCCCCAACGGCTACTTTCTCAGTGGGGCTTATAAATACAACCCTCAACTGGCCAAATGAGGGGTGTGGAACTAAGGAAACATATCAAGGGTGTTGATACACCATTTTAGTGATCTCCACTTGCATAGTGCTTAGTGTTTCATTAGGTGATTAGCGTAGGTGCTTTGCGAAGTGCTTAGGTTGATTAGACCACCGCTTATGCGTTTGCTTTAAGTTTAGGCCTAATGTTTAGTGAGGTTTGCATACCTCTTACCACGCGGTGCTTGCGCGCACTATTGTTGTACATCGGAGAGGCGTGTAGTCTTGCGAGATCACACCAACCGCATTTGTGGTGTGGCCGCCACCGTGTACCAGAGGGAACAAGACCCGCGGCGTTTCGGCCGGGAGCTTGATAGTGAAGATGGCGGGGAGCATCCGGGAGAGGCTTGCCGGAAGGCACGTCGGAGACCCACTTACGCGTGGGGAAGGCCCGAGGCTATCCACGGAGTTACCCGACCGGGAGCTTGGCCCTTGCGAGGGATTCCTTGCGAGGGGCTCCAACGAGGACTAGAGGGAAGCTTGCTTGCTTCTCGATACCTCGGTAAAAATACCGAAGTCGTCGACAGGAGTTTGCATATCTCTATCTTACTCTTTATCTTCCGCATTTAAATTGATTACATTACTCCTTTTCGCTAGAGATAGCAACACACTAGCAAAATCGTAGTTGCATATTTAGATAGTTTATCTTTTGCATAGGTTTTGCTAAGGTTAGAAAAGGAGGCCATAGTTTAGAGTTAGAATTTTAAGTTGCCTAATTCACCTCCCCTCTTAAGCGTCACGGTCCCTTCAATTGGTATCGAAGCCGGTTGCCTTAATTTGGACCTTTGGCTTAATCGCCGTTGAGCCGACTCTACTTAGAGTGGTTGGGATGGATACCTCTAGGCCTCCGCACTTTGACGGCACTAACTTCCCCTATTATGAAGCTAGAATGGCTTGCTACCTTGAGGCGGTTGATTTGCGAGTTTGGAGAGTCACTCGTGACGGGATGAAACCCATTAAGAATCCCGATAAACCCATAAAGAGTGACGAAAAGCAAATACATTTTAATGTTAGAGCTAAAAATTGTTTGTTCGAATCTTTTAGCATGGATATTTTTAACCAAGTGTTCACTTTAAATACGACACATAAAATTTGGTTAAAACTCCAAGAGCTCCATGACGACACAAGTAATGTCCGTGAGTAAAAACATTGCCTAACTCAACAAAGTTATGATTCTTTTGAAATGAATGATGATGATCTTGTTCGTGATATGTATTCTCGTTTAAATCTAATAATCAATGAGCTCAACTCTATAGGATTAACAAAGCTAGGTGATGCGGACATCGTGCGGAAGATCATCTCCGTGCTATCACAAAAGAAATATGCAAGCATCATCACCATCCTTCACAACATGGAGAACTTGAGTACCATGACCCCAGCCATAGTTATTGGCAAGATAGTGTTATTTGAAATATCACGCAAGATAGGTCAAGAAGAAGCCTCTTCATCAAGCAAAGGCAAAGCTCTCGCATGTAGCGAGAAAAAGAAGATGAAGGGCAAGCAAGTTGAGACAAGCTCAAGCTCAAGCTCCTCAAGTGAAGATGAAGAAGAAGATGAGGATGATGATGAAGAATCAAGTGATGATGATCAATCTTCCTCCTCCACCCCCGACCTTGATGAAGAATCAATCAAACTAATCAACAAGGTGGAGAAGATGATCCAAAGGCTCAATATCAAGGGTGTGTCCATCCAAATTTAAGATCTCATTTTCACCAATCAAAAAAATAAGCAAAGAAAAAGAGGATGCTATGGATGCGGTGAGTTTGGGCACTTTGTGGAAGTTTATCCAAATAAGCCCACACCTAAGACAAAGAAGAAGGCGTGCAAGAACCAAGCCCTCACATCAATAAGGTCATGGGATGATTCTTTAAGTGAAGAAGAACACCATCACCAGAGGCGAGGCCGCAAGCACTCATCATCAAGCTCTTTTCGTGTGTGCCTTATGGCACGAGGTAACGAAAGGTCATCCTCTAGTGAGAGTGATAGTGATGATGAAATACCTTCTTATGATGAAATTGTGCAACAAAATCTTAATTATGCTAAAGTTTTCACTAGTCAACAAAAGAAGCTCGAAAAATTAAAAGAAAAGCTAAATAGTTCACAAGAAGCATATAAAACTTTGCTTGAATAGTATGAGAACTTTGCTAATCTCAATGTTGAACTATCTACTAAAATTGAGCAACTTAAGGCTAGTGCAACAACAAATGCATGCACAATCAATGATGAGCAACTTGTAAAGAAAAATGAAAAATTAAAAAAAGTTAGCTAGCTCACAAGATGCTTATAAAAGTTTGCTTGCTAAAATGGAAACCATGTGCAAACATTGTGATGAGCTAACTAACAAAGTTGCTAAGCTTCAAGCCGTTAGTACAACCCCACCAAGGCATCTAAAAAGAAAAATTCTATCTTTAACATGTCTAAAAAGGATGCCTCCACTTCTTGCAATGATTTACGTTTAAACTCACCCTCGTGCAACCAAGTTTGTG